GTGGACCTACATATTGGCAGCTGATAGTAGTAAACCTTATAGCTCTTTTTAATTTAAGAGTGTTTAGGGCTTTTCCATACATGGACCTACTTCTTTGCGAAATTCTCCAGCACGCTGAGGAAAACAAGAAGAGTGGCACTACTGCCTCAGCATTAAAACAGTTCTACTTTCCATAAAAGCTGTTCATTGCTGATATAAAAGTACACAATTTCCATTCCATCTTGCTTTTCTGTGTCATTAGGTTGTTCAAATATTGTGCTGGAGCTGTTTGACAGAAATTTGTAAACGAATCTCACGTGTACTATACAGCGGTACGACCGCCAAAAAGAACTTTGGTGCAGGATCCTTGGGCTTTTGTTGCCTTGCTTAATGCTCCAGTTAGCATGAGGCGTCAAACTCCAAGGTGAAAAGTTCAAGTATATTCACATATAAAAGCACTTTGAGTTTTTCGCTTAAAAAAGAATTACTCTCTGGAATCGAAATGGTTGAATCCCCAGTGACCTTACATAATATATCTAATACTTACTCAAGCGTTTCTAGACCCTTCGCCTGTAACCTCCCCTTGGCTTTCTTTCATCCAAGAATCCATTCCCAGCACAACCCCTACCTCGACCAACACCCCGCCCAATAGAATCAGAGGTTTCTACCTTCTCGAGCAACTTATATGTTTGAAAAAAAAATGCTGCTCTCAAATCAGGAATCAAAGCGTATGCAGCGCTGAGGCTAGTCAGAAGTTTTATTCCCCGTGAAGGTAATGGTTGATTTTTAAAAAGTTGTCACCCACCTCTGACCGAGAGAAAGGTGATTGTAAAGTTACGTTTGTTATGAATAACTAATTTTCTTTCCTTTTGTTGTTGTTGTTGTTGTTGTTGTTGTTGTTGTTGTTGTTTTGTTTTTGCTTTGCCAGTTTTAAAGACTACAATTTCACACTTTTTATAGTAATGAATTATCGAATTCCAATATAACAACGTTTTATCTATACCCTGACCGATATTAGTAGCGATAGAGAATAAATTGTGAAATTTACGATCAGATCGATTACCTGGAACCCTTCTGTGAATAGAGTATAGACCACATTTTAAAGCAAAACTGTTGATGTTTCTTTCTGAACTCTGTTTGAATCTTATATATGTATATGTTAAATAATGTATCCTCTGATCTTTTTTAGTCTTTTTTTGTTGTTTATTTTATTTTATTTTATTTTATTTTTGTTTTTGTTTAAGGGTAGGTGGCAGTTAAGTAGAAAGTTGAACCGCTCTTCAAAATGCAATGCCGAAACTGCGATGATTCTCTTCTTTCTCATGTTTTCCTCGGCGCTCTGAAATAATTCCCAAGGAAATGGGTCCGTTTTGGAAAGTTGTTCTAATATTGATATCATTTAAGATTTTCTTGTTTTCTCATCAGTTTTCCAGTCAGTATATAAAAATAATCCTCGTCTCTTCCCCTTTCCTTGTGAGATGTATGAAATTTCTCTCAAGTACATGCATATTACTTCTGTTCTCCAACTGTGTAAGTGGCATTCGCCTTTCTTCCCTTACCTTATGTGTTGATCTAAATCCATGTCCCACAGTCACCCCTTCTGAACCGGAATCATTTCTAACAACTCATTTTGCAATCAGCAAAGAGCCTATAACGCGTAATGAAACAAAACAAAAAGCTGAAATGAGCTAATTGCAAATGCATGCAAAGATATTTTTTTCTTACGCTTTCTTTGTTGATACCATAACAGACCTTTCTTATCTGCAACAGCGCACCTTAGGTCAACATTCCTTCTTTTATGTTAGGTAAACATTCATTCATTCATTCTCCCTCTTCTTCTTCTTCTTCTTCTTCTTCTTCTTCTTCTTCTTCTTCTTCTTCTTC